GCTGAGCAGGGAGCCGGATGTGGGGCTCGATCCCAGGACCCTGGGATCATGACCTGAGCCGAAGGCAGACGCTTAATGACTGAGCCACCCAGGCGCCCAGCACTTACCAACTTCTTAAGAGCGTTCCCACTAAAGGATTATGAGTAGAAAATTGTGAACATAATAAAAAAAGGAAAATAAAATTATGTGCTTGCTACCATGCTTTGGAATATGTCTCTGGCTAGAGGATGCTGCCCTCTGGGAATAACCAAAGTGTCATGTTCCTTAAAAATAGAGAAAGGTGGCCCAGGGTTAAGGCTGACGGCATGCTAACTATGAATCCATAATGTGTCACTACAATTATGAAATATTTAATCAAACATTTGTACTATTGAGATGACTAAATACACATATCATCATGCTGTGGAGTGATGTTGGAAATCTCTTAGAGTACCATGGCTGGTTTTGATCCAAACATAAATAAGACATGGAAAATTCATAGAGGGATAAGATAAAAACTATAAAAACTTAGAAGGAATGTGGGAAAAAGTTAAGTATTGATGATGCCATGGACCATTTTGTTCTACTTAGTGTCTTAAGGCTGAAGGTCTGTGTTCCCCTGCCTCCGTGTCAGCTGCTAAGGTTGAAATTCTGAGAGGCAGCAGTGTGACTTCACTCTTTCTCATTTATACTGTGAAGGACTTCCACACTAGACAGACCTTGGAGAGAGCATATTTCAACAAAAGACCATTCCTTTTAACTGGATATAAAATGGGGAGGTGCCGGGGCTCCTGGTAGGCTCAGTCAGAGAAGTGTGCAGCTCTTGATCTCGGGGTCGTGAGTTCAAAGCCCACATTGGGATGAAATGGGAAGGTGCCTTTGGACACATGGAGACTGTGGTCTTAACATATTCTCCATGAAAAAAATCGGGGCCCTTTGGGGAAATGTCTGATTCTAAGTCTGGGGCAAAAAGTGCACAAGATGAGCCTGGAATATCTTTTCATTCCAGATAGCAGGGGAGCTCGCAAAGACTAATAAGGTTATGTCAAAAGGACTAAGGAGTCTCCCACTGGCCAAACATGAAATAATTGGAGAATCAATAAGGACGATAACTATTGGACTAAAATATACCTAATATGTTTAACCTGTGAGTTTATAATACTGAAGAAAAAATTGACCATCATTGGGGGGTTGTTGGTAAATCAAGTCAGGGGCACCTGGGTGGCTCAGTCGTTAAGTGTCTGCCTTCGGCTCAGGTCATGATCCCAGGATCCTGGGTTCAAGCCCCACATCAGGCTCCCTGCTCCGCGGGAAGCCTGCTTCTCCCTCTCCCCCTCCCCCTGCTTGTGTTCCCTCTGTCAAATAAATAAAATCTTTAAAACAAACAAAAAAATCAAGTCATTGTTTTGGAAATTAATAAATAAAGAATCTAACATTTATCCTATCTTTCCTATGTGAACTGCACTATACTAGGTAACAAAATAGTAGATCAAAGGAGGCTTCTCTTGATAGAAATATTGCAGGTAATGAATAAAGAAGGGACAACAGGATTAAAACACATTATTTGAGGAGGTTAACTTCCAGAATGGTAAGGTGAGGACACTGGGATGTGTGTACAGATGAAACGATATTGGAGGAGTTGATAATTGTTGACTCTGGGTGATGGGTATGTAGGAGTTCATTATAACCCTTCTGTCTAATTTTTTATGATTACCTTGGTAACAACTTTATTAAGATCTAGTTCACAGGGGCGCCTGGATGGCTCAGTCGTTAAGCGTCTGCCTTCGGCTTAGGTCATGATCCCGGGGTCCTGGGATCGAGCCCCGCATCGGGGTCCCTGCTCAGCGGGAAGCCTGCTTCTCCCTCTCCCCTCTCCCTGCTTGTGTTCCCTCTCTTGCTGTCTCTCTCTCTGTCAAATAAATAAAAAAATCTTAAAAAAAAAAAAGGTATAATTCACATTATCAATGTGAATTATTCAGTGTTTATTAATTAATTAGCTGTTTTACCTAAAGCATATTAAAGAGGAAGAAGAGGCAGAAATCATTCTTTCTGGAGATCGTGGAACAAAATTTATATCATAATCATCTTCATCAAGCTGGACAAATGGGAATTTCTCAATTGAATATAATTCCATTTCTTCCAAGTTGTTTTCACTACTATCTAAAGTAAAATAGGGGCACCTGGCTGGCTCAGTCAGAGGAGTGTGACTTTTGATCTTGGTCGAGAGTTTGGGCCCCACATTGAATGTGGAGATTACTAAAATAAACTTAAACAAAAAATCAAGTAAAACAGTTGTTAAACAGATCATTTTAATAATCAGCGAGTGGAATATGATTTATGTAAAACTTCGTATTTCCATGAATGTCATCTAGTGTTGTTAACCCTTCCTCTTAAGGTACATGGCATAAAATAAAAGTAGATCTCTGGTAAAGATGGAATGGGAAAGAGGATTGTAACTGTCAGCCTGAATGAGAATTTTTGACTATGCATAGATATCAGCTATCCTGTCTTCCTTCGGCCTCACGAATTTTAAGGTGGCTGAGACTGCATTATCCTGCACAGTAGCTCAGCAATATCACACTTGTCGCACGAGGGGTATAAAGGTGCTTGGTGAAAGTACTCTTTCAGGCAGAGACTTAATGATTGTGAAGCACAGCATCTTGCTGGAAAACCATTGTTCTCACTGGTGATGCCTTTCTTCTTTTCTGTTCACCTGTTCTTGTGGTTTTCCGCGTGCTCTCATCGTTCACTCCCACGCCACTCCCATCCAGCTTGTTTACTCTTCAAGCCCAAGCCAGGTCCTGTTTTTCTCCAAACCCTTTACAGATAATCTCTTCTCTGATGTCTTTTGTGCTTATTTTAGCATTGAGGGAAACCAGGTCATTTTGCTATTTAAGTGAGCCTTCAGTGAGTTAAGGGTTTTATATTTCAAATACCACCAGTTGTGAAAAAAATGTCGAAACAGTTTATTGACCAAAAAAAACCCTAATTTATCTGAGCACAGTTGGAAAGTACTGTGCACACACCCCCCCCAAGAAGTACTATGATTAATGCAAAGTACGTAACTCCGCTGATAGTTCTTTTCCTCACTGTTTAGGATCATGGCCGCTGTTCCCCAGAATAATCTACAGGAGCAACTACAGCGCCATTCAGCCATCAAACTTAATAACAAATTAAGTCCTTCTAAACCGAGATCTTTGTAAGTATTTTGGCTTTCATACACGCACTGACCCACAGTATCGTACAAATGAAGTGTCTTTCAACCCTTTCACTGCACAGATGAGGAAATGAAGCCGAGGGGTCCTTGATGTTCCCACTTTGTAAATTAACGGTAGAGCATTTGCTTTAGCAGCTCAGGTAATAAATGTTCAGTACCTTCGCATGGTTCCTGGCGCGTAATACTTGCTCAGTAAATATCTGTGGGCTGAATGAATAATGAATCTTCTTATAAATTTGGGCACATAGGTACTTTTAATATTTTAATATAATTTTATATCCATTCCAAAAACAGTTTATAAGGACACTGTAGCTCTCCATTTCTTTTCTTTCCTCCAAGCTAGACTCCAAACTCCTTCTGACAATATTTAATAATAATTTCTATTCTTTAATAAATATTTCTATTCTATTTGATAATAATATATTTAATTATATATAATATAATAATATATTTAATAATAATTTCTAGAGCTTTACCAACTGTTCTGGGTGCTGGACTTTAAAGTTACCATTAAACTTCATGTCACCAAGGCCAGCAGACATCCAAGACACTTGTCCCTTTTACTTGTCCTTCAGATTCCAGTGTGGCCTGTTCAGTTGTCACCTCTCTTCCCCACAGAACTTGTATCAGAGAGACAACAAGTCACCACATTTGAGTCTCTTCTCTTTTCCTTATATGCTGTCTCCTCCCGCTGGACATTAAGGACGACCTGCCTGAGAAATAAAGTAGTGGGAATGGCCCGAATACTCTCAAAACTGAATAATTAGCTTCTAAATTGGAAAGATCAGAGCATACAAAGTATAATTGAAGTTACCATATAAATTTCAAAATCAGAGGGAGATAGATTCTTTGCTCATTTGTGATACGGTGAAGGAGTTGCTGTATACATCAGTAACGAATTTTAGAGTTTGTATAGTTGGTGGGTTTGTTAAAACTAATCAGTCTAATTCAGTTTTTCAATTATCTTTCAGAGGTTTTACTTTTAAAAAGAAAATAACGACGGCCAGCAATGTATCTGTCACTAGTGTGTCAGTAGCGAAAACACCTGTGTTCAATGATAAAGATGTTAATGTCACTGAGGCCTTTTCCTTCACTGGACCTCCGCCCCTCACCACAAGTCAGCAGACAAGGCCCAGCGACTTCAAAAGTGCTCCAGCAGGACAGCAAACCAGGAGAGCGGTTTCAAAACCATTATTGCCAGAGGTGTTGCAGGTTTCACAGGGGGTCTTATGTAATACGCCGAACACACCAATCGTAAAGAAATCCAGTAATGCTACTTTCAAGAAATTAGAATTTAGTTCTTCATCAGATTCTTTTATTACCATCAATGATTGGGATGATATGGATGACTTTGATACTTCTGGAAATTCAAAAGCATTTGTTACGCCATGCAAAAATCACTTTGTGAGAGTAAGCACTGCTCAGAAATCAAAAAAGTCTAAGAGAAACTTTTTGAAAGCACAGCTTCCCGAAGCAAATACAGGAAAGGCTGATTTGACTCCATCCTCCTCTGAAAGCAAGCAAGCATGTTTGACTAAGAAACAGAATGACGACTCGGAATGGTTCAGTAACGATGTGATTTGCATTGACGATGACCCCAATCCTGAAGAGCTTATACGTGGAGATGCTCAGGAGAGTCATCCTTTAAAAACTCATTTAGGAGAAGAAAGAGGTAAAAATGATGTTTTATCTCCTTTCAGTATGTTGACTGTATTAATTTATTCAAAGCTAGGCACCGGGAACAATAGCAAATAGATACAGCCTTTGTCCTTAGGCTCTGTGGAGGGACCTGTTACAGTCTGTTGGCCACTTTCTTGAGGCAGGACCTACGGATGAAATGACAGATTGTATTCTAATACAGTTTTTATATAAACACCAAGGATAGCTCTATAAGGTCCATAGAGGAAATGGTTTCTTTTTTTGTTAAGATTTTTATTTATTTATTTGACAAAGAGAGAGCAGGGGAAGTGGCAGGCAGGGGGAGAGGGAGAAACAGGCTCCCTGCAGAGCAGGGAGCCCAGTATGGGGCTCAATTCCAGGACCCCAGGGTCATGACCGGAGCAGAAGGCAGTCGCTTAACCAGCTGAGCCACCCAGGCGCCCCAGTTAAATGGTTTCCTGATGGCCTACTGGCTAGCTTGTGGCAGAATTGGGACGTGAAACCAAGCCTTTCCATTATAATTCCTTTATGGCTTGTTCCCACCAAATGTGGATGTATGACGTGATCTAATTATGCTATTAAAGTATTACAGATGACATTCAAATCATTATCTGTTTAGTTCTCCTAGTTTTTAGGTGTCCAGAACCTCACAGCTGAGATTAGCCATGTGTGGAAGTACCCGCCCTATGAAGTGGTTGTAAGTGTGAGACTAACGCTTCTAAACACCTGAATCCCATCAAGGTTACTAGGGGGTGAGAGGGGACAGAAAAGTGATTGATAATAAGTACAACTGTAGTCTAATCAAATGCTGGCTGCTTATGAAGAGAAAATTGGGTCAGAGATAAACTGGAAAGCAACCATTGGGCATTGTTATCCCACATAGTCGAGAGAGACACCAACTGTGGGGGACTTCAGTAACTAGGGTGCCTTTGTGGTAAAGTTAACAATGTACAATTATCAGATTCATCTCTTATACTTCCCTCTTATTGAAATATGAGTGAAAAATAGAAAAACAGAAGTTTCATAATTGAACTGGAGACCGTCATGCAAATCCTTAAGCAGATCTTCAGCCTCATTCCCGCATCCGTTAGACTTAATCCAGGTGACTCTGTCATTATTCATGAAGAAAGCCCCAGCACGGACGTGTGGAAGGAGGGCACACAGGGGGCATGAGTCGCCCGGAGCGCCCACCCCAGTGCTCCTGCCTTGCACTTTCTGTCTCAGTAGCGATGAAAGTAACCTGTGTTTATCCACGGTTTTACTTTAGATGGTAGTGAAAAGAAGAACTTGGAAGAAACGGAATTACATTCAGTTGAGAAGTCTCCATGTGTTGAGCTTGATGAAGATGATTACGATACAGACTTTGTCCCACCTTCTCCAGAAGAAGAAGTGATTTCTGCCTCTTCCTCTTTAAAATGTTTCAGGTAAAACAGCAAGTTAATCAATGAACATTATTGTTTATTTCTGGGATATTTGAACTAATTCTGTTTAGCTGGGTAGTGTCATTTCTGTTTTAGATTCGTTTCATGCTTCTGCAAAGTTTTATATCCACATGACAGCATCAAAAAAATCCCTATTTATACATTTTATTTAATTGGTGGTATTTAAAGCTGTAAAGTTACATTATGATTAATTACGTGGGACCTCCAAACAGTTTTATTTAGTTGATTTTGACGTGTGGAATATATTCCTAGAAATACTATATTTCCAAACTCCTAGACCTGAAATGACACAAAACTAACTCCTTATTTGGGAAGTGACTTAGTAAATAATATGTCCTGTTCTTTTCTCTTCTTTTCTTTTCTCTTTGCCCTGCAGAATAGAATTGGCCATTATATTTGTCATTCACTGAATTTTAGTAAATCAGTGACATGGTTGTGGTTAATTGGCAGTATTATGGGAAAACGAGGTGGTACACATAACCCATCAATAGCTTAAAATACTAGTAGTCAGTCTTACCTCCATCCCTGACCCAATCTAGATCATGGTCCAGGTGAGTGGTGGAGTATTTACTGTGAACCAGTATTTTGATGAGAAACATGTCCCTCTAGTATACCACCTTAATTAAGGAAGGCAGGCAGGAAGGAGGTGTTTGCCTGCATAACCTTGTTCCTCTGGGGTTGTGTTTTAACAGGTGGGTTAGGTTGTTTAAAGAGGAGGGAAAAGTGTGATTACTATTTGATGACAAAACTAATAAACTACAGGAGCTGCCCTCTCCTCCCTTCCCATAGAAATTAGGACAGAATTATAGAACATGAAAGAACTGAGCAAGAGTTCATATAGAATGTAGATTCTAAACAAGATTCTCATTTAACAGAGAAGCAGCCAAGGCCCAGGGGGGGAGCAGGGGATTGCCCAGGATGATAGAGTTAATGGCACATGGACTAAGATCCAGTGTAGGGCTATTTCCTGGACCATACTGATTCCTACGGAACATCTGGGTTTTTTTTTCTCTATTTATTAAAAAAGTGTGTGTTGCACAGATGACCTTGCAGCCAGCTTACCGGGATGCTTGTCGTTTTGCAGTTCCAACAAACCAGACATTTTCTTTACCCATGTTAGGTTTTCATACCCTCTACATGTGTATGTGATTTTTGCATTGCTGTAATCAATATGTAACTATAATTTTTTATTCTTCTTTTCTCTTAACATTTTTAAAACATGTCCCATATTGCTACATAGTCTTTATTCTTTCTAATGGCTACCTAATTTATTGAGTTGTCATACCATGGTTAACTTTACCTAGATTTTTAGCAGTTGGAAAATGTTTATTTCCAGGGTTATTCCCAAAGTAGTCTCTCTCTGTATTTTCCATTGCAATCTCAAATACATATTTGTATATATTTTAAAACTGAAATAGAATTTTCACAAATGATACTCTCACTATGTGCAGTACACACTTAAATTTTATTTTGTATTTTATCTTGTTTTGAAACACTGGTTGTGACTTCTGGACTAATTTCGGAGGTGTAGCAGTCAGGTAATAAATAACAAAAAAGAGAAAAATGTTTGTGTATCTCCTGCGTGCCCGAACCTCTCGAGCCAGCCCTCAAAGTCCTCCATCTTCAGGCCCCACATTACCTCTTCATTTCTATCTCCAGTTACGCCCTTATGATAACCCTAAGCTCCAATGAGCCAAATGAGACAAACCGACAATCTAGAAAACATTGCTAAAAATATAAGGCCTTTTCTTTAATTACCGGTTTTTAAGACTATGTAAAGCATAGTTATTTATCACTGTTCAATTAAGTTAGAAGATTGCATTCTGGGGCGCCTGGGTGGTTCAGTTGTTAAGTGTCTGCATTCGGCTCAGGTCATGATCCCAGGGTCCTGGGATCGAGCCCCATGTTGGGCTCCCTGCTCAGCCGGAAGCCTGCTTCTCCGTCTCCCACTCCCCCTGCTTGTGTTCCCTCTCTTGCTGTGTCTCTCTCTGTCAGATAAATAAATAAAATCTTTAAAAAAAAAAAACGAAGAGGATTGCATTCCAAAATCCTGCTTTAGGCAAGTACAGTTGATATCAAATAAAGAGAATTGTCCTTTGTCTCTCCTCACGTTCCGTTACTTTTCCCATACCTGTCATTCAAGGCTTCCTCAAATCTCCCTCCTTGGTGAAGCCTTCTCAAGTTCCAGAAGGTGTTATCTTTGGATTTCCACGGTACCCTCTCTTAACACTAATTTTTTTTTTTTTTTTTTAATGTTTTATTTATTTATTCATGAAAGTCAAAGAGAGAGAGAGAGGCAGAGGCAGAGGGAGAAGCAGACTCCCCACCTAGCAGGGAGCCTGATGCGGGACTCGATCCCAGGACTCCGGGATCATGACCTGAGCCGAAGGCAGACGCTTAACCATCTGAGCCACCCAGGCGCCCCTCTTAACACTAATTTTAATGCTCATTTATTTTGTTACTTTTAAAGTATTTCTTGTATCCAGTCAGGCTGACCATGTTTATATGTGTTAATAATTTTTGTATAGAATGATAAATTATCGGAAGAGATTGGACCCTGGGTTTTCCAAATTGAGAGGAGAGCGAGGCAGAATCCCTCAGGTAGACCAAGTAGACCACGCTGGGCTCCTGTGAGGAATGTAAGTCGTGCCCTGTGACACCTCACAGGGTTACTGGAAGGACATAATTGGAGATAGAATTGAAAAGGTCTCTCGGGGCCAGAAGATGGGAGACTTTGAAGAGGTTCTAGAATAGAGATAAAAAAACATATTTCTCTTTTCTGTTATATATTGTCTGACCAGTCGTGGAAAAACATGAGAGGAAAAATTATACATTTGGTCTAAGTCTGTACTGCAGTTGGTTTTATATTTTTTAATTTGCAGTATGTTAAAGGACCTTGACACCTCTGGCACAAAGGATAGTCCTAGCACATCCAAGGACTTGCTAACGCCCGAGGGGATGACAACGCAGCAGCCCACTCAAGAGACCAGCACAGACTGTGACGGTACAAAAGGTATTTCGACATAGCACATATTTTAACCACCTAACGTTGGAAAACAAAGTACGGTTGTATTTTTAACCTGTGGCTGTCTGGCATAAGATGGCAAACTTGCAGTTACTCAGCTCTAACACAGAACCACCCCTGGACGCTGGTTAGCCAGCATTTGCTCGAATAACCCAGAAACTCGTGTTCTCTAAAGATAGTCCATTCTCTAATGTGAAAACACTACTAGTTAGAAAGTTTTTTCTCACATTGAGTCAGAATTTGCTTTCCTGGAACTTTAATCCTTGTGAGATAAGTCTAAAGCTCCTAGAAGCTTTTCTTTTTTCCCTTTTTTTTTTTTTTAAGGGCTAAATATTGTTGGGTCTTTTAACTCTCTTTATAGATACTGGTTTTGAGACCTTCCATCCTCCTGATTTTCCCTTGTTTGTACTCTGGGTTTATGACTTGATGTCCATGCAGAGTTTAATACTTTTTGTTTGATTTGTTTCTAATTCATTTTTAAACTTTCTATTAAATATCTAATATAAAGAATGCAGCCACCCTACAACTTTGGAAAGCGGCAGCCTCCTTTCCCACTCCTGATTTCTACTTCGCGGGGGCTCTGTCAGTTCCGAGGCCTGTGTCCTTCTATCCTGGAAAGTTTTCTGATACTATTTCTTTTTCTTTTCTTTTTTTGTTTGTCTTCTCTTTTCTCTTTCACTCTTCCTGGAACTTCTATTATTTGGATATTAGGCTTCCATGAGTTATCTTTTCTATTTTCCATCTCTTGCTTCTCTGCTTTCTGGGAGACTTACCAACTTTTATCTTTAACTCGTTTATGGGATTTTTCATTTTAATCAGCCCTCTTCCAAAAGCTCTTTTTTCATTCTCTGAATATTTCTGCAACGTGTTCTGGCCTTTTTTGATGGGTTCTGTACTTGTGTGTGTGTGTGCGCGCGTGTGGTAGGGTGTGTGTGCACGTGCACACGTGTGGTGTGCATGCACAACATATGTGTGTTGTTTCTGTTTCCTCCCAATTTCGTTTTCTTTATTTTGGTGTCTGAATTTATTGTTAGAGATGTCCCTGAAACACCTGATGTCCTCAGCGCTCTTCTGGATGTTTTGTGCTATTAACTTCATCCTCTCAGCAGCCCTGTAAGGTAGTTTCTCTTCTCCCCGTTTTACAAATAAGGAAACCGAGGCACAGGAGTGTTAACTAGGACCACATGTGCTCACAGAACTAGACAACGGCAGAGCGGGGCTTGAAACCCAGCGGTGTGCAGGCTCCCGAGTTTATGTTTGTAGCCACACGCTCTGCAGCTGGTGCGGCATGGTCCCACTGATAAAGTGGTGGGCTAGGCCGGGGGCAAGGACAGAATGTCATCCGAGGTCTCCCTCTCAGCTGATGTCGTGTTGTCACCAACCTGCCTTGAGACCTCGCGGCTCTCCCTGGCCCACGGGGCTGCAGAAGACTCACAGGACTCCACAGGTTCAGGGTCTGAGGCGGCAAGAGGGAACAGGGCGGGGGACATGGGCTTCTGAGTGATGCAGTCCCCAGGTACGAACCTGTCTCCTCCTGCCTCTGGCTGGGAGACTGTGGAAAATTAGTGAAGCTTCTCTGAACCTCAGTTTCTTCTATGGAATGAGAAGAATGACCTCTACCTTGCCGGGTATTTGTCAGGATTCATGGTAAAGGGCCCAGTGTACTCTCGGCCTTCGATAAATGGTAGCTATTGTTATCTGCCAGTCTGGTAATCCCTTCAAAGAAGGAAATACATTAAGATTACTGATTTATTTATATGAACTCTTGCTAACTCTATAATCGTTTCCTCTTCTTAGAGCTCACAAAGCAGCCATTTGATAACATGTTCTAGAATTTTGCCTTGAATTAACATCCAAAGCACCAGCCTATAGCTTTTGGCAATCCGTTCAGAATTTTTTGAAAATTAGAACAGGGTTTGCCTGTCTTCGCTCTTCCATTGACTGTCCTGTTCACTGAATGCCTCACATATCAGCGGGATATTCTTTGCGGGTTTCCTTTGTTTTCTGAGGTGTAATCTGTCTAGACAAGGAGACTTGAGCTCCTTTTCAATAGCTGTTCTCTCTCTGAGCCTATCTTGGCTTTCATTTCGTTCAGACCATTGTTCATTCTCCTCTTTCCAATCTGATACCCGTTCTCCATGTAGAGAAAACAGGCAAAACGGGGATTCAGCAATTCCTCTTCACCATCTTCGACCTCACGTCCTAGTCCATGCCGGTCACAGTAAAAGTCCATGTTTCCCAAGTCATTCTGACATAGACGCTTGTCTCCCCAAACCCCCGTCTGTCCTCTCTCCCTCTCCTTCCTGCCCTTTGGACCCTACGATGGGCTGCCCTCTTCCAGTGATTTCCCGGTAACCTCATTCTCTTCTCTGACCGTTCTCTTCCTGTTAGCTCTCGGATTGTCTCCTGAGAATAGTTCCCTCTGCAGCCCACCTAAACCGTTTATTTCTCCCACATCCCTTAGGTCCTCGGGGTGGAGTAGGCATCTTCCTTGCTTCCCATTGCTACTCTAGCCCTTTCTTTTCTTCCTTCATTTAAAGCCTTACCTTCTTTGACATTCTTTTTCTTAGTTCTACAACGTAAATTTAAAAAATGTGGAGCGGGCTGGCCGGATTCTGACGTGCAAACATCATCACCAGGCATTTCTCTCTCTCACACCTGTCTTCTCGCCTCTCTTCCACCCCCTGGCCCCATCTCAGTCCCCCCGCTCCTTTCTTTCGCGTTTTCCGCTTTCCCTTGTGTGGGTCTTATTTTCAAGCTGTGTTTCCCGGGGTGGTGGCAGGGGCGGCCACCAGCAGCCTGTACAGCTTATTGAAAAGAGAAGTCTTCTTTTCCAGTCAGAAAACTCCCAGACCTACTTCTCTTTGAGCTGCCTGACATCAGATGCCCAGAGGTTGGGGGCCTGGTGTCTCCAAAGAGAAAGTCTCAGTGCTGAGTTGTTTCCTTGAAGGAAGCGTGGGTGCCGAGCAGCCTGGGACTGCAGGGGGGGTGGAGTTCTTGATACCTTGTCTGGGCATGGTGAGATTTACCCCTGAAGTTAGTGAAAAATGATAGTAAGCTGATAAACCTTTGCATCTTACAATGACATTGGTTACCCTGAGAGAAATAACTGAAAACTAACATGAAATGAAATGATGATAACGCAGTTTTGGACTCTCGTGAAATAAAGTAGAGATAACATGATTTCAGATTATTTCACAGGCAGATAATATGGCAATATAGGGTAGTTCATAATCTTGTTGTTAAACTACTGTCAATTTGACATGCGTGACTGTCAAAATTGTAAGTCTTTTTTCAAGGAAAAATATTAACGAAATTATAACACTTTATAGTTAGACAGACAAGTTTGCAGCAGCAGCTTATTCACGTGATGGACCAGATCTGTAAATTAGTCGATACTATTCCTGATGATGAACTGAAAGCTCTGGATTGTGGGAATGAACTGCATCAGCAGCGGGACATAAGGTATCTTACTTTTTCTTCTTCTGGAATATATCTGATTACATTTCGACCGACCTAAGTCAGAACATATGGGGCAGAATTTCCAGGCATTCTGAGCAGGAAACGGAATAGGCTAATTATCACTGTGCTTTATGTTTTAAATTTATTTACTTTCCAAACCGCCCCTTTAGCATTTGTATTCACATTTTCGAGACTGAGGAAAAGAGGATATATTTCGCCACAGTTTGGGATGAAAACTAAAGGTATACTTGCGTGGCCTCACATTTCATGTGGTGTTCTGTTTCCTCTTCAGAAGGAAGCTCCTGGCCGAAGCTGACCTTAATACAAGGGACGCCAGTATTCTTGCTTCAGGGTGGAGATGCAGGCCTGACTCACCTGGTAGCCCTCTGGAGGGGATGGCATCTGTTTCTGCTCTCGATGCATTTCCAAAGGGCAATTCCTGTCCTACAGGGAATTCTGTTAAGGAGTTAAATTTTCCACACCTTCCCTCACATTCCAGTTCCACTAGGGAGTGTTTACTGGCTACTACCCCGGGAAAGACAGGATTCTCAGCCACCACGAAGAATCCCCTTGAAAGACCGTTATTCAGTCCCCATTTACAGAAGTCCTTTGTAAGTAGCAACTGGGCTGAAACACCAAGGATAGAAAAAAGAAATGAAAGCTCTTACTTCCCGGGAAATGTTCTCACAAGCACGGCTGTGAAAGATCAGAATAAACGCGCTGCACCAATAAATGACTTAGAAAGAGAAATCCAGGCTGCCTGTGATATTGACACTTTTGACATAGATGGCTTTGATGACGATGATGATGATGATGACTGGGAAGATATTATGCATAATTTAGCAGCCAGCAAATCTTCCACAGCTGTCTGTCAACCTATTAAGGAAGGTCGGCCAGTTAAGCCAGTATCAGAAAGAATTTCTTCAGCCAAGACAAACTGTCTTCCAGTGGCATCTACTGCTCAAAATAAAAACTCAGAGTCAATTCAGAATTACACTGGTAAGTTTAAAATAAATGCTTATATTTTATATGAAAACATAACTGTCCAAAATCAGAATTGTGTAAGAAAACCGATAGCAAATCATCCTTGCTTGAAAAGTACATTGTTTCTATGCAAATTCCTGCTGATACTATGAATTACAAATCACAATTTCAAAAGCAAGTTGCTCCTTTGTCTCCGTAGCAGCTGTAGTTTTATAAAATGACTAATTATAACCTATTGTAGTAAAGCTCTAAAGTCATTACAAATGTGCTTTGCCTTTAAATTAACATTTTTTAAGTCCCTAAAACAATAAAGCTCATAAGGACCAAGTTTTTAATAATTTGGGGGATGAGTAAAAGCAAGGCTGAATTTATATGTTAAAACTGTAATTGTATGTATTTTTAGAACTCTGAATTGATGAAAATTGATCAATTTATAAAGTAGAGAAACATGCAGGGCAGTCTAAGAAAGACATGAAGTCAGAAATTTCTTAAGACAAATTATTTCTTGGATGTCTGGGTGGCTCAGGCGGTTAAGCATCTGCCTTGAACTCACGTCATGATCCCAGGGTCCTGGGATGGAGCCCTGCATTGGGCTCCTTGCTCAGTGGGGAGCCTGCTTCTTCCTCTGCCTGCTGCTCCCCCTGCTTGTGCGCGCGCGCACTCTCTCTCTAAAAAAAGAAAAAAGACAAATTATTTCTTTGGGCCTAAAATCCTTTTAATTCATTCAACAAATATTTATGGAGTGCGCACTCCGGCCCTGTTCTGTGCTGCGTTCTGGTCATAGACAGATGAGCAACAAGTAGTCCCTGTCCTCCTGGAGCTCACAGTTTAGAAGAAGTTTGTGGAGAAGTGCAATTAGTCACTGGAAAGGCTGCAGAGAGAAGCCAAAATTAATTTTAAAACCTTACATCAACCCTGTAAAGTTATTGCCAAGTGTTTTTTAACTGAAACAAGTTTCTATGTGTAAGGTTTTATAAAGTACAGCCTTGCCTATTTTTGCCATTGATGACTTAATACCACGGAGGTTGTTCTTAACAGTTACACTGTTGACCTTTAGAATAACCATTAATGGATTTATTTTTGTATCACGTTAGAATGTGTCATACTTGATGTTCCCAATTATCTTTGAGACAGTCGAGTGTTGGGATGAGAGAGACTGCCAGAGCTGGCGTGAGCACCCCTTGTTCTATGTGCTGAACCAGGGCTGCGAGAGCAGGGATGCAGAGCAGGGAGCAGAGCAGGGGGGTGGATGTGATAGACACGTTGGAAGAAGAGCAGAGGAAGCCGAGATGCCTCCGAGGTTTCAGACCCAGTGACTGAGAAATCTGTGACACCATTAGCAGAGCAGGGGAGTCAGGAGGCAGAGCTGATTGGGAGAAAAGCTGAGGAGGGCTATTTTAAGACTTGTGGAGCTTAAAGTCTTGGTAAGTCATTCAGGTAGAAATGTCTTGCAGACATCTGGAGACGCGTGCAGGACCGGCACTTCGGCAGGTGTCAGTGGGACCTTACGAAAGAGCATTCTGTGCACAGAGGTGATGTTTAAGATCAGAGCACTAGGAGAATTCCAAAGCAAGAATGGCTAAAAGACTCTCAAGTCTGCAAAGACTCCCAACTATAAGGGGCAGGTGGAGAAAGTGGAGCCAGGAGAGAGAATTTAAGTAGAAAACCCATGATTGTCTTGAAGGTCAAGAGAGAAGGAAGAAGGGAATAAATGAAATAGTAAGTGGTAGGTGCTGCAGAAAGATCAAGGAAAAGCCTGGAATTTGGCCTCAGGAAGTCTCTGGCGGCTTTGACATTTGGCGAGGATGAAACCCTGATAAGTGGTTAAAGAAAGATGTGCTGCAGGGACATGTATGCCTTTGATTTTGTGTGGCAAAGGGTAAATGCTAAAACTGACTTGTTAACAATAATGCACTGATTTTTCTTAACATCGATTATTTTCTCAGACAAGTCGGCGCAAAATTTAGCATCCAGAAATCTGAAACATGAGCGTTTCCAAAGTCTTAGTTTTCCTCATACAAAAGAAATGATGAAGATTTTTCATAAAAAATTTGGCCTGCATAATTTTAGAACTAATCAGCTAGAGGCGATCAATGCTGCGCTGCTGGGTGAAGACTGTTTTATCTTAATGCCCACTGGTATGTATTTTTAGATGTAAATTGGCAGGAGTCCATTGGCAGATGTTAAATGAAAGCCCTTTAGTAGAAATAAAACGAACACCCACATGGTATTTCCATCATTAAGGGACCTCTAAACCACCTGTGCTTCAGTGAGACAGTGTATTACCTCACGTCCTCTGTTGACATGATAACACTAATAGCCCATTAAGGTTCGCAGCTCAAAGCTTGTTGTGTTGAATCGATCTAGAATTTCCCTCTTTCTAGCTCTCTCTCTTTTTTTTTAAGTCTAAATTAGTCTGGAACTTGAACAAAAAAATTACCGTCAGAGACCTTGCCCATCTCTGGCACTTTATTTGGCACAGTCTAGTGTTGAAGGGTGGTTAAGATCATCGGCTCTGGAGCAGTGGCCTGGCCTCAACGCACAGCCCTGCCACTTACTCGCAGTGTGACCTTGAGCGAGGCCCTTCACCCCGAGCGCCGGCTTCCTCCTGTGTGCAGGGAGGATGATGATAATACTGCACAGAATGTCGTGAGGATTAAACGGAAAGCGTTTAGCCATAGCTTTCTTGGCCTCCGTTTTGAAGAGATCCAGGACTTTTCATTGTGCCATTAAAGTCTGTAACAGCTGTCTGATGGTTTACAGTCATCCAAGAAGGAATATTAAAGCAGCACTTAGCATAGGGAGCTCAGGAATCCGAGCTGTGGTACTTACATGGAGCCTTCCCTCTGCCTTTTACCCACCTTGCTGTGAACTTTAGCAATTAGTTATTGCCATCGTTATTAAATTATGTTGAGCAAGCATCTGAGCTTTTTCAAGCTGATTGTAGAATTTAGACAACACTGGTTTAATAATCAGTGTTTCATATTTCATTAACTTGTTGTTCACTGTCTCCTGCTCTGACTTGGTTTGGTATTGCAGAACAGAAGTTGGAAGGGATCATGACAATGATCTAGTCCAGTGGTTTAGACTTTTCATGGACTTTTCATGGTCCTTTAGGACTTCGAGGGGCTTTTTGAGGGTCTTCCCACCCCAGTTTCAACCTCTTGATTTATACAGATAAAGATCCAAATAAGGTTTCTTTTAGAACCTCCCCCCCCCAAAAAAAACACTGATCTAGTACATTTTGCAGGTGATAAAATTGACGCCTGGTAAGGTTAGCTGGTGTTTCTAAGTCAGACAGCCTATTAAGTAGTGGAATAGAAGCTAAAACACAGCTTCCCAATCTTTCCTTGACATTTACACGTACATATATACCAAAATGAAATGTACTTACCCCACATGCAAAAAAAAAGGTAGAATGTGATGTACAGTTTAAAAAAAAAAAACAAACTCACTCCTAGAAACTGCCTGGCACAAGCTTCTACCTTTAGTGGATGGGAGAAGTTGAAAATTAGAGACTAATCATTTTAGTTCTCATTAAATGTGTACTGATTGTCTTACCATCTTGAATTAGAGTTACACAGAGAGATGGGGGTGCATCTCAGAATGTCTTTCTCTTCATCTTCTGTTAGTACACACCAGCGTAGTTCTACCCTTCTTTTTATCTCAAAGGCAGATTGGGAATATTTCCTTATTGATAAACATACAGGGAGTCAAAGCACAGATATTTAATGTTGAAAGGTTCATACTAGTGGTTTAAAAAAGTGAGATCCTGCAAGCGTTTTCTTAATCATCAAAGAAATATTAAACATGTTCACTGTGGTCTTAAGTGATGTATAGTTTATCACATTTTAAGTCTTTAAAAATTAAATATTATACAGAGTAATTATTTTCATCCTAATACTGTGGTAGAATACCTCTTGTATTGCATTTGGATTTCCCAATTAGATTTTTAAAGCCATTCTATTGCCTCTAAGTTCCCTGCCCTGATTCCTGCTTTTGCATTCATGTATGAGTACATGAGATGTCCTAAAAGGTAATTTTCGCACATTTAAATTGTCTAAATATTTTGACTCATTCGAATATGGCAAATTGTTGGCACCATGGGGAATGTCACTTGGTGTCCTATTACTTAATTGCTTTTAAATACTACCATATGATTTACTTTGTAACTTTTGCCTTCATGTTCTCAAGATAGAACCTGACAGGTTTTTTTGTTTTTGTTTTTTTGGTTTTTTGTTTTTTTTTTGTTTGTCCTTTCAGGAGGTGGTAAAAGTCTGTGTTACCAGCTCCCTGCCTGTGTCTCTCCTGGTGTCACTATTGTCATTTCTCCCTTGAGATCACTCATAGTAGATCAAGTCCAAAAGCTGACTTCCTTGGATGTAAGTTAAAACACTACCAATTATAATAAAAATACTAATAAACACATAAAAATAACTATATTTCAGTACTCTGGGTAACCTTTTTTTGTTAAGTAGTTCATGAACTATAAGAATAAAATGCAGCAGTTTCATTAAGTTGTACGAGTCTTTGAAAATTCTTATAACAGATAACCTTCTGTAGTTCAGTCTGATTTTATTCTAGAAAAATGTAATTTATCAAGAACTTTTAACCTGTATTTTGCTGATGTGAATTTCTTTTACTAATGTGAAAGGATTTCTTTTCTTACTACTGTGGGATCAGCATAGTTCCCACCTTTCTTCACATCTCAAAATGCGTACACAGGAGCACCCCACACGTGCATCCTTTTTCCTCCTGGCTGAGGTTAAGAACGTATATGAATGTATTCTGCCAAATCCTGCATATTTTCAAGGTTATGAGCCCCCACCCCTCAACAAGACCACTGGTTTGATTTTTCTCCCAAAGAATGTGTTTGTGCGGTGCCCATCCCCAGTGGCCCACCAGGCCTGATGCTACGGCCCTCTCATCGTCCCTGTGCTTTAAAAATGCTGGAGATACATTTTCCCAAACTAAAACAAGCCATACCTTAGGATGTGACTCTCTTGGGTACTGAATTCATATTTATCTTCTTACAGATATGAAAAGCAAAGGCAGTCTAAAAGAGAAAAAAGAAAGAAATTAATGGGAATATTTTGAGTTATGGCTAAGAGAAGTTTTTTTTAAATACGTTCTAAATACTTATTTTCACTGCATTGAGATTATATTTCCTTTGACCCAGGTTTGATATGTGACTTATAAAATATTTATAGAACCTAAGGATAAATATATGCTTACGTTTACCACTTTTGTACTTAGATTCCAGCTACATATCTGACAGGTGATAAGACTGACTCAGAAGCAACAAGTATTTACCTGCAATTATCCAAGAAAGACCCAATTATCAAACTTCTATATGTTACTCCAGAGAAGGTTTGTATTGATACCATTATTTTAAAATATGGTATTAAAGCTGTGTTAGAAAAACAGCCCAGTGCTGCCTCCTGAGGAGGGAAAAACCCAGTCTTCCCCTTCTGTGTTTTCTCCTTTTCCATCACCTAGAGTGTTTCACTTCTGGTGACCAAATGTGTGGACGTTTTTCCTCACTCTGAGCAGCTCTCTGTGACCCCAGCAGGGTGTCCTACCGTTTAACTCAACTCTGACACTGTCTGCACAGAGGTAGCCTCGGATCCCACGGGTTAAGGGCTTGGCCTCTCAAGATGGTTCCCACCCTTCTTTAGATGCCAGCAGCAAGTAGAAGGTCCCCAGGTTACCCATACCTTCTGTCCGATTTGGCTAACAAATCAGAGGTTCCCATGACCCCCTCCTCAGTTCGATTAATGTGCTAGAGCGGCCCTCAGAACTCAGAGGAACACTTAACATTTACCAGTTTATTAAGGGACGTGATAAAGGATGCAGATGAACAGCCAGATGAGAGAGACACAGGGCGGGGACTGGCAGGGACTGGGAGGGTCCCAAGCGCAGGAGCTTCTGTCGCCGTGGCACTGGGATGAGTGACCCTCCCGGTGTGCATGCGTTCACCGTCCACTTTGGAACTTGCCAAACCCCCGACTCTCAGGATTTTGTGGCAGCCTCCTCACTTAGGCAGGATCATTTCCAGCCCCTCTCCCCTCTCTAGAGGACGGGGTGCTACTGAAAATTCCAAGCTTCTGATCGTGGCTGGTCTCTCTGGTGAGCAGCCCCCACCCAGAAGCCATCCGGGAGCCCACCCAGAGTCACCACACCCGAACAAAAGACTCTTGCTGCTCTTATCACTTAAGAATTTAGAAGGGATTTCGGAGCCTTGTGTCAGGGATGGGGTCAGAGACAAATACTAGAATCAGGGAGGCTTCTATTCTTTTTTTTTTTTAAAGATTTTATTTATTTATTTGACAGAGAGAGACACAGCGAGAGAGGGAACACAAGCAGGGGGAGTGAAGGAGGGAGAAGCAGGCTTCCCACTGAGCAGGGAGCCCGATGCGGGGCTCGATCCCAGGACCCTGG